GGCAAACCTTGCACAAAAGCCTGTGGCCATAACAGATACCAACAGTTAGAAATTGGTAATATCCACCCAGTTATTTCCCCTTATCCAATTTGAGGTCAATGAATCTGACCCTCAAAGGTCAGAGGGGCTGGAGCTTATCCCGGCTCCCATAGGGTAAGTGGCAGGGTACACCTTGGCCAGTCTCTCAAAGGGCTAACACAGGGAGACAGACAACCATTCACATTCATACCTACGTGAACCAATTAACCCCACTAACTGCATGTCTTCAGACTGTAGGAGGAAGCTGAAATACATGTAAACACCACACAGTAAGGCCCTGAACAGATGGTGGATTTAAACACAGGAAATACTTGCTGGGAGGTAAAAGCACTAACCGTTACGCCACTGTGCTGCCCTCAGCAGCTTATATATGCCGATAATGCTGGTGCACTGATCATCAGGAGTCTTTTCTCATGTTTCCTGCTGCTGTTGCCCTTTACCTTTGAGAATACCTTGGTTTGAAGGCTTGTTTCCTACACATAAAAATGATGGATTTAAGGTCTCCCTACATAAAAAATGTGATCTAAAACCCTTTTTTCTTACAAAAAAGGAACTCGGGTCAATTTAGTTTTAATTATATATCACAACAGTCACCTTAAGGTGCTTTATATTGTAAAGACCCTACAATAATAGAGAAAAAAAACAACCCAATAATTAGACAGCACCCTATGAGCAAGCACTTGGTGACAGTGGGAAGGAATAACTCCTTTTTAACAGGAAAAAACCTCTGGCAGAATAAGGTTTAGGGAAGCTAAGACTACTGGAGGTTTCTATAAAGCAAAGATAATGACTGAGTCACATTCAGCATCAGGAGCAAAAATACAGTCACGCAAAACAGCCATTGATTTTTTTTTATTTTTTTCTTCAAGGGGAAATGTTATTTTTCTCTTTGTCATAGTCCTCAACTCTTCTCGTTCTTCAAAACTTTGCAAAAAACAAAACAACAAAAAAAAAAATCCCCTTTTCAACTCTTCCAACTCAGGGAAAAATACAAATAAAACAAAAACAAATACGGAAGGATTCATCAGGCCTGAGCAAAAACACTGTTTCAGTAGTATGGGGACAAACCTTCCTTCCCTCTCCTCTTCCCTTCCCCTCCCAAAAGCATCCCAAGAGTTAACAATCAACACAAGTCTATGGACAGCCAATAGAAATAGAATACATACAATGAACATCTTTATAATAAACTCAAGTGCATTTTATAAACTCTTTGCTTTATACGAATCACTCTTCATTGGTCACAGTTCATGTGATAGTTGGTGATCTCCGTTGCATTACTGTCCTCTAGACGCAAGCCCGAGTATCATTGCACAGGAGGGACCAAAAGCACAGGGCTGCGTGAGCTGGCTTTGGTACAAACGTGATCAACTGTTGGTTGCCACTGCTAAGTGTGAGGGAAGAGCTGAGTCAGGGCTGATCCTACAAATTAACAGAAAGCTGCGCCCGGGGGAACCAAGACCTTTACAACGATGAGAAAGTTAACGTAAAAAATAATAATAATAATGTCGACGAGCCCTTGTCCCTCTTTCTCTCTCTCTGCCCGAACATTAGCGGTCCAGGCAGGGAAAGCAAGCACACTTCCCATTTAGTGTTAATCTGTGATTTGTTTTATGTCAACTTAAGGCAATCAGACTCAGCAATCAGTGCTTTCATTTTCCGCTGAGGCAGGTGTAATAGGAGAGAAAATATGTGAAGGCCTACCAACTCGACCTTGTCCTCTTTAAACAGCGTAACACGAGGGATGCTGTTTGTTACCACTGAGAACTTTAATGTGTGTGGAGGTCACCGAAAAGCCTGGCTGAGATTTACAATACTGCAGTAGTGGCATGAATTAAAAAAAACAAACAAAAAAAAAAAGAGCAAAAAACAAAAAAAGCACAGTGATTCATTTGTAAATGTGTGTGTGTTTACTGCTATGCTTATGTGAGCATACACCACTTGGGCTCTGCTGCAAAGGCAGCTAATGGTTATTACTTACTATACATGATCACACCTATCGTCAGCTTAAAAATACTGTACTGTACATCAGGACTGAACAGCAGAACTCATTGGCTGCAGTTGATCAGTTGGTACCAGTGAGCTGGAGCTTTACGACTGGCATTTTACAAGAAAGCGTGCTGGTCTTTGATCCTCTTCATCGGAATGGAGTCATCATATTAAGCATAATAATTAATCAGAATCATCATAATAATAACAACATTAAGAATATACAAATGATGGATACAGAAGTGATACAAAATACCCTACGCTGAAAACGAACAAAAATGAAAACCAGATACCACAATCAGACATGCTTCAAAGCAGTTATGTTTGGCAAGAAAGCAGTTTCATTGTATCATAAAAACCTCACAGTGAAAATAGTTATGCCCCTTCAGGATTACAAAGCACAGTATTCAGTTAAAATCAATATATATTAATTTCCTTCATCTATTTCTTCTTCATAGAAGAATCAGGCTGTGCGATACCGATGCATTGAAATCCAAAGTTTCTCCCCCTCCCCCCCGAAGGCTCTGGAACGGGTCTCGGATCTAAGTTCCTTCATTTCCATCTGTACCAAAACAATACCTCTCTGAAAGGGAAGGAGCAGTCGATGTCGGTGTACTGTCACGGCCGAAAAACCGGCTCAAGCTCTAAGGAACCAATCGGACATGAAGTGAGGATGAAGAGGGGCCAAATCCTGGCTGGCTCTACTTTTACTGCTCAGGTATAACCTTCTGATAACATCCTTAGTCGTCTTTAGTCAGTTTTAAGTTAACCTAATTTAACAATCGAGGTCAGCGTTTGAATTTAGGGTTCGTGATATGCTCTTTGCTGCCTGAATGACAGACGAAATAAATGTTTTGTACATAGTCTAAAAAAGGGAGGGAGCAGACTTTGTGGCCAGCATTTGGGCAGAAAGACGGAGGGTTCAGGCCCTCTGCTTAAATAACAGAGGCGGAGATCATTGCTAACTCTAGCAAGAACATATCCACACGTCTTGCCTTGCTTTTAGTAAATACTTTAGTCTTTGGTCAATATATTCCTCCTCAGTTTATACATATATTCATACACACACAAATATGCATGTACATACACACTTAAAAAACGTGTAATAGACTGGATATTTGTGCCCGTATGTTTCCACACTTTTTCATAAAGGACCCTTTTTGCACAAAACATCGAGATCGAAATAAATAATTAATGCAGAAATAAAACATGAGTACCTGTTTGTAATTCATGTGAAATTTAAAAAAAAAATAAAAATACAGAATAAGAAAAAAAAAACGAACAAAAAGACCCAAAGTAAAATAAAAAAGTAGCCGTATGTACAGCGTTAATCTTCTTTTGACACAGGCTAAAAGGCGTTTTAAATAACAGACTTTGCATCTTTCAAGAAGCCTGAGAGAGAGGCTAGACATGAGAAAAACACGTGTCCTTCGACATGTACGGGATCCAAAACGGCCGTCAAACGAGAACATTTTCCTCTCATCTAGAACACTTTCCGTTTGAAGTCTTCAAAGTTTCTCTTTTTTCCCCTCTTTGCTCGGGATTCAAGTGGTGGCGTCTCTAGTTCTTAGCCGCTCGCTCACACCGCGAGTCCTCGCTCAGTGGTGCCGTGTCCTTGCAGTGGGGGGGTCATCCCAGCATCTGCTGCTGCTGCCGCTGTCTTGGCTGCTAACTGTTGGGCGGTCCATCATTCAGGAAGTAGGTTGTCATTTCGCCTTTACCTTTTACCTTTACGACCCCACGACACTCAAGCACGTAGCCTTTGCTTACAAGCACCTGGTAGAGGTCTGTGGTCACCTGTGAAACGATGTACACAACGATTTACAAAAGAGCGCAATATTTTAAAAGCAGTCACTTCAAACTCTTCGTCTGTTTTTGCACTGATAAACTTTTATTATGAAGCTGACAAAATGAAGTCAAGAAATCTTTACATTTAAAACTGAATTAAGCAACTTTTAATTTAAATCGTATTGATGCTGGTTAAAATGTAAATAATAACACTCATACCACTAAATCTTACCAAAAATATTTTTTTTAAAAATCATATGTGAAATGTTGAAACTGAGATATTTGAGGCCTGCTTTGTTGGTTTTTTTGGGTTTTTTTAAAAAAAATTATATTCTGGTTTTGTTTTGTTTTTCACATTTAAGACAGTGTCTCAGCTTCCGCTAATAGATAAAAGTTTTAAAACAAATTTTATCTCACCGTTTACAACTTTACAATGCTAGCAGTAGCTTTTGCCAGTTTTTAGGGGGGGGGGGGAATCCACTGTCCACAAACACTTCAGCACTAAACTGAAGAGAGACACAGTAAGCAAAAGGCTGCTGAGTTTAGAGAAGCACTCAGCAACTAAAAAGCTCAATATCTGCTCAATAAATTTCTCTCAGAAAAAAAATGCAAATAGTAAGCTGCTTTGAGTTCCAATTTTTATTTGACTAATGTTAGTTTTGTGAGTTTTTACTTCTTTATTGTTCTAGTATACTGCGATCTTTAATATCATGATATCGAGTCTCTTGCTGTTACTTTACTCTTTCAGTTCTGTGATGTCTCTTGTGTTCTTGTTTGAGCCTCGTCTATTGTCTATTATTTGCATAGTAGTCTTGTTCCCTGCGTTGTGCCTCCCTCAGTCTCATTTCTGCGTTTACGCTTTGTTCCCTTTGTGTTCATGTAGGTCTCTTACATTCTGATAAGTGCTTGTATTCATATCTCTATTGGTCTTCTTTGGTTATTTCTTATTTTACTTTGAAGTTTTGGTTTCTTTTACTTCCTGTTTGTCCTCTGTGTATAAATAGTCCTGCATGTGTCCTGTATTTGTTACTTATGTGCAGTCCTGCGTTTTTTATTGCTTTAAATTTTGTTTTTGTTCCGTTTTCATCGTTGTTTCTATATTATTTCATTTCAGTATTAAAGCACACCTGGACATCTTATCTCTAAAGTGTTTTTATTTCACATTTCTACAGCAATCTATAAATGTGCAGATATAAAATATTACCATCAAATCCACCCAGTGATATTTGATTGCTCCCTAATAACCTATCCGGGCTGATTTTATTAGTTACAAGAAACCTACCTGTATGCAGTCAGGTACACCTGTGCTATCCATACGACTGGCCACATTGACTGTGTTTCCCCAGATATCATATTGAGGTTTCCGTGCTCCAATAACCCCCGCAACCACCGGCCCAATGTTCAGACCTGTCAATTCAAGACAAAAAACAAAAAAAAGTTAAACTGCACCAACAAAACCAGCAATGTATAACCACCGTGTTTCCTCCTCTAACTTCCTCTTACCTATCTTCATCTGGAAGTTGTTGAAGGAATGCTCGTTGATATATTTCATCTGCTCTCTCAGTCTCATGGCATAGTCAGCTAGTGCAGTAATATGGGAACGGCCTTCTTTGTCATAGGTGGAGTCGTTCAGACCTGACGCTGCCATGTAGGTGGAACCGATGGTCTTTATCTTCTCTAGCTGCCTGTACTTCTCCTCACTGATGATCTGAGAAGTAAGGAGATCACAGATGGTGACTGCACCTGAAAAACAAATGACGATCACACGCAACCTTCCGAGACAGGCTGAGTTTACCTCGTCAAAGTCTGCGATGATCTCGTTAAGCAGCCGGAGGCATTCTACTCCCTCATTATTGGCCTCCAGCTCCACGTAGAACTCGGAGAAGTTGCTGATGGAGGCGAACATGACGGCTACACACTCACAGGACTGGTAATACAGCTCGTCGTTACGCCGCTCACGTGCCAGGAAGTGAGCAGCTACGTCCTTCGGTAGGATATTATGGAGGAGGCGACGATTGTAGGCTTGCAGCTCCTCCATCTCCTCCTTCTCCTCTGTGGCCTGGAAATAGAGGTTATTTATTAACTAAATCAGCTCTTATAGACACAGTGATATAATAATATAATAATTAATTTCAATTAACCATACAACAGCTCTATCAACTTTTTACTCATGGACATGTTTGAGGTATTAATGGAAGATCTTTTAGGTTAACATTGTCAGGTGGCGCCCTCTAGTGGACCCTAATGTCCATACCTGTAATTTCCACAGGAAGTCGAGGCGTGCAGTAGATTCAACCTGTTGGGCGTGCAGGTACAGTGCCAGGACAAAAACTGTGAGGATCACTGGAGTCATGACCCTCAGGGACACTTTGGTCACAACAAACGAGCTGCGGAGAGAATGACAAGCAGTGAGATTAAAGAAAGACTACAAAAAAACATTAAACAGAGAAGGAAACAAGCAAAAGATCAACAAGAAAATAACATTTAAAGAAAGGTGATGTTTAAAATTGGGCAAAATACATTATAGTAACTGAACAAGATGCAAAAATTAAAAGTAACATTGAATGTAGGCTCACCACTGGTTTGTAGTTTCATTGAAACTGGGCCTTAAATTAAAAAAAAAAAAAAACAACTTTTAGTCAGTAGTAATAAATCATTTAAAATGATGATGCAAGAGATATTTACATCAGCAGTCTAAGGATTTGATTTTGATATCAATTTATTTCATGCTACATATTTGCAGCTAAGGTATAAATGAAAGTAGATTTTTAGAAAGAGACAATGAAACATCTTTTAAACTGTGGATTTCAACCTAATGGAATATGTATGTATAGAAGTGAAGTGAAGGAATTAAAAGCTAAATCCACAAACCGTACTTTTTTTGTTTGTGTTCTGACCAAAAAATTCAATGGCAAAGATTTAAATGCAAAAACATCAATAATAATAAAAAAAAACTTACCACTGAGTTTCATTTAAATCACTAAAAACAGACAGAAAGATTCAAATATATTAATAAAATGCACAAACTTGATTTTACTGTTGTACATGCTCAAATTCATGAGTAAACAGAAGCAAAATCAATGAAAGAGCAAATAAGGGTATTTTAAGTATTTTGATTTATCCTTAAATTACTGAAAATAAAAATCTTCCATTCCCTTTCATCCCTTAAATTATCAGTACAAATGAAGTAAACCCTCTCGGTGACTTGTAATTTCACACTTGTTTCACTTACATGGCATTGGAGGTGACAAAGAGGTCTGCATTGTCAAACAGTGCTACTTGTGGCCACTCCACCAGCAGCAGGAAGGTGAACTGGATGAGCAGCATGAGGGCCAGCTTCCCTATGCTGCTGATCTGCAGGAACACGGAGCAGGCCAGCAGCGTCAGCAGCACGCTGTAGCTGAAATACTGACACAAACAGGAGGCAGCGGCGTCACAAGCACGCATCATCGACGATAGGTGTCAGGAAAACACAAACGCAAATCTGAGACTCTTCTTTTAAAGCGTGTGGACCGTTTGCTCACCTCAGGAAAGGGGCATGAGGGGCCTCGGCTGGGGCAGATCTCTAGACCCCCCTCGACGGACACATTCAAGCTGCGGATCAGACAGGGAGTCACCGCAGAGGTGTTCAGCTTCTCAGCGACGCATTCAGCCAAACCCGTGGTGTCGCAGGCAAACTGCATGAAAGTGAAGCAGCACGACTTCAAACAATGTCGCACAAAGTTAGCAGATGCGCTTAATTTGTTTAGCGATAACTTTGATCTCACCATATTAACGAAGGCAGAGATAAAGACGAGGATAATGGAGAATACTCCGACCAGCGTGCTGTTGGTGCGAGACTGGACAATCTTCTTCGAGACAGTCTGCATCGCAGCTGGAAAAATCTGCGAGCGGAAATGATGAACATGTTAAATACACGGTGAAGGCAAGGAAAAGAAAATGAGCGCAACATTTGGTTTGAAGTCCATGTGACCTGCTCTACCTTGATGCAAGAGTATATGGCACAGATGAAGAGGATGTTGGCGAGTATGATGAAGATACTGATGTAGATTCCCAGCATGACCGGGGTGCTGCAGGAAAGAATAGAGAACACAGATTATAAAAGGACATTTAGGGTTTTGTTTTACAATCATCATTATTATTATCTAAATCAGTTAAATTTCAGAAAAATACCCAGTTTATTTTTGGCATTTCATTTTCAAGGAAGAACCTTGAAAGACCCTTAAGGTTTTTCACAATATCAACATTTTTTAAAACAGTTTTTTAAAAAAAAAAACCCAATCAATCTAAATATATTTATACCAAAAAATCATGGTCTAAAACAGCGGTCCCTAACCACTGGGCCACAGACCAGTCCGTGAGTCGCTTGGTACAGGGCCACAAGAGTTGAGGCTTGGGTGTGAAATTTATGGTTTTCGGGGTTTTTATTGGTTTTTAGTGTTATTTTTTTAATGTTTTTATCGTTAACTCGGTTTCCCCAGGAGTTTTCCTGTGTGTTATGAATAAATCTTCTTTTTTGGGGGTATCGGCACTGGTTTTATTTTGTTGTATTTATGCGCGGCACCTTAAAGGCCGGTCCGTGATAGTATTGTCGGACATAAATCGGTCCATGGCGCAAAAAAGGTTGGGGAACGCTGGTCTAAAATGAGTGTGGGGGCTTTAATCCATATTTGTGAACATCTGGAAAAGCCCAGCAGCATGACAACCTGTAACTCTAAGGAGGTAGGATAACTAAAAGTGTACAACCAGTGAGTTCCTCATCAGTTCTTATTAGTCACTAAAGTGGGCGGAGGTTCAGTTCACCAACATGTGCAACATGTCGTTCAATCATGTTTTACTGGAACGGTGTGCATCAGTGGGGAAAGGTCAGACCAGCAGTCAGTTACACATCAGGAGTGATGTGTATAATAAACTGCACTCAATCAGCTGACAACAGGGGGCTCAAAGATGACACAACTTGGACATAAAAGTGGATTTCAGGAGGAAACGTTGTTGCGCTGTGAAAGTTTATATTGTCAAAACACATTGGGAGCTTAATAAGGGTGCAACGATACTCGTATCGATATTGAACTGTTCGATACAGTGCTTTCGGTTCGGTACGCATATGTATG